GAATGGAGTTGAAATGTATGAAAAGCCTACGTTTCAGGATATGTACAAAGATTAAAATAATGAGGTTTGATCTAAAAGAATAAAGCACCATGATCTTAAAATAGAGAAGTGTTGAAAAAGCCATGAATGAAGACAAGCCAAATTTAAGGGTGTTATGTCATTATATGCACGAACCTCAAGGTTAAAAAAAATGGAAGGTGAAATAAGTGAGTGTTGAAATAAGGGATAAGTAATGTGAAAATCAAAAATAAAAAAAATGTGAGTGAAAATCTCAAATGAAAAGAAAGCATTGGGGATGTATTTTAGTCACTTGACAGGATGATATTATACATTTTGCCTGAGCCTAATCCAAATTCGCAAGTACTTGGATATTTTGAGTCTTGTCACTCTATATAAGTGGTTATCTACATACAAGGAAAGCTTATGAATCAATGTGTATTCACTGAAATTCATTTGTGAGAGTGAAAGTTATGGAATGATCTATAATTTCTTGAATTAGATATTCCTAAATGTTGTGTAATTCTCTTTTCTGTGAGTGGAATTTCACCCTTCAATGAATTGTGATGTCTTGATTTCTTGGAGTTTCATGATTATGTTTGTGTGAATCTTTAGGCAAAACAAAAAGGTTGATACAACTGACTTGAGATGCTTCAAGACTGTGCTTAAAAGAATGATTGTCCCAAAATCATGGAAAAGCTTTTTGATAAAAATCTTTGCCTAGTGAATGATGGTGGAACCAATAGAGAGTGGTGCTTGTTTTGAGTCTTTTTATTTTTAATCTAGTGTTTCTAATTATTTGAAGTTAAGTATGTAATTATGCAAATCCTATTTTGGGTGTAAATAAGTTTTGATTAGTGAATGTTTTGCTTGAGGACAAGCAATAGTTCAAGTTTGAGGATTTGATGAATCAATATTTTACCGACTCATTAGACTTCAATTCATAAATTATTGTCATGTTTTAATGCTAATTGAAGGGGTTTTAGGCCCTCGCACTCTTGGGTGTGCATATTTCTTAGAAAAATAAAGTTTGGTAGATTTGAGCCTAAAAGCATTAAAGCACACCATTGATGGAATTGACATCCAGCAAAAATCAACAGGCGTCTCACAGGCTAAACACCGGCTTGGATGGAGTTATGTTGCCTCAGCACTGGTGTATGATTAGCATGGTACAATCATATATCTGAATTCGTTGATCCTAGCACTTGTACTCCTATTATAAATGAAGATTGATGCAAGGAGGCAACTGGTGGTTCGCTTTCTCTGATCGGTGTCTTGTTGGTTGAGCACACGTTCAAAGGACAAAAGCTGATGGGCAAAATGTAATTATAAAAAATGATACTTCCTTTGGAATGTTCCAAGGATATAATAGGGATTTATCAATTATATAGCATCATATTCTTCCCAATTAGGGTAGTGGACATGGGATGACTAGTTGATAATATATAACTTTTAGAGAGAAAATAATGAAGAATTTTCTAGCTTGTCGAGGAGAATACTGTCATACTGTGTCAATCCAAGCTTGGAATCCATATTTTTCTTATCATTAGCTTGGATTTGAGATTTCCTATATATCTATTGTCTCATTTTCATCTATTATGTGTAGCTAGATCCTTATCTAGTAGTGTGTGCTCTAGATGAGGTTCTAAAACTTCTAATGGATATTGAATAATCGACTCTAATATTGATTGTATTGCATGGATTCACTATTATCTTGAAGATTTAATCTAAAATCTATGGTTGCAAACATTGATTGATCTCTCTAATATCATTTTCACTTGGAAAAGCTCAATGGAGTTGGGTAATACTCAATTGTGAGGACTTGATGAAATTACTCTATGGATTTGAGCCAAGGATGGGATAATCCGAGTGGTTTCCGTTGTAGTGATATGAGCTAGGAAAAGTCTATCTACTCAAGCAATTTTTTGTGTTAAAATTTGAAAGGGTATTTGGAAGAATCCAAGGATCATATGCCTAATAGTTTGGGAAATATTAAAGTGTAGCCTAGAACAAACACTATCCATGTATAAATCAATGTTGTTCGGTTACTCTTTGTCTATTCAAGTTAAAACCCTATCGCTATACACACACGCTTAGTCTTTTTCATACTCTTAGATCTTATTGTTGAAAACTCATTTTGCTAATTTTTTTTAATGTACAATCAATAGAAGAAGAGTCCCACATATTAAACCTTATGATTCAACCCCGACCTGATAAGTTGAGTAATTGCCTCTTGTAGCACTGTCTATGCCCAGAAACATGAGAGAGATATAATTGAACGTTTATCAACATTTTGTCTAGAACATGACTTAAAATGTTTTTCAAGGCGCGATTCTAGAGTTCACTTGGCTTGAAAGATGAACCTAGGTCCTTTTTTTTACTAACCACTCTATCCTAGATTTTCCCTTGATTAATGTAATCTTAACCCCATTAAGACTAAACCAAATTATTTTTGCCATCATGTTCCATACATTGATTAATTGTAACCCTCTAAATTAAATCAAGCCTACTTAATAAAAACGTCATCCATAATTTGATATCCAAATATAAAATCCATAACCTGGATACAACTAAAATTTGGGTCTTCTTTGAACTCGAAACTTCTCAAGCTTCGTTAATGACTTTCATGGAGTTCGTTAAATTCTTTATTCATGTTCTAAGTTCCAATTCAATAATTATTTTGCTACAAATTTTAAAAATAATATCACTCAACTAATTTTAACACCTAGATTTGAAAAATTGTTGGCAATTAAGTTTCATCAATGGCTTCTTTAGATAACTTCTTCAATGGAAGTTGCTTAGGAGAAGAACAGGAAGAAGATGAAATGTGAAGTTGGGGAACTAAATGTTTACTTGAGTTAAATGGAATTGAGATTTTTACGAGTGGGTCGAATAGTGGAAGAGTGGACCCATATAATGGGTGGGAATTTATTTGGCTTAATTTAGGGCTAATCCATCAGTGGTCCTTTAAATTTGGCACCAATTTTCACTTAAACATCTTAACTAAGCTTTGTTCATTTTAGACACTTCATGTCATGTCTCGTTGTGTCATTTTGACATTTTTTTGCTTACGTGGCTTAGTAAATGTAATAAACTCATTGACCGCGCGTGAAAATTTATTTAGTTGACTTGTTTTCTTCTTCTTCTTTTCCATTTTCAGCCACCATATCTTAAACTTAAAAAGTCAACCATGGTGAATAAAAATAGTTATTGTAAACTGATGACAATGATGATAATTATTTTAGAAATTTAGGAATAGATTCATTTCATGGTTTACTTACTAAATTAATTCATGAAATTCTTTCTCGAAAGAATTTAATATTTACGTAGGAGTAAAGTTGATTTTGTGAATTTTAAACTTGGTAACTAGGGCAAAAAATATGTGAAAAAGAAACTAATAAACCAATTGAGATATCAGGAAATAATATTCTAAATTTCTTCATTCGAAGTAAAGAGTAGTGTGCATATGGGCATGTGCTCAAACGTCTTTGCAAGTATTTGGAGAAGAAAATTGCTCAGAGGGGGAAGGGGTGTGTGCAGATATTTCTGCAAATTGATAGGTACGGACAAGGGGATGTATTTCTGCAAATGTGTATTTGGAAAGGAACGTGAAAAGTTCATATAACTTTTGAAAGCTTAAGGGAAAAAATAGTAAATGTGAGATATGAATCAGTAGGATTATAAATTGAGTTCAAGTAATGTGTATTAAGTTAATTAATGGGGAAATGAAAGATTTCTATTAATGTAGTAAAGTTAATGATAAATAATTTGTTTTTAAAATGATTACTCAACTTTTAATTATTTAATATTTTATTATTTACATGTTTTATAATATTTTTATTTAATCTAGGGGTAAAATGGTAATCCAATTTTGACTGTTGGAGCCTCTCAAATATAACAATACAAATACATACGAACCCCATAATCCATTCTTGAGGAATTTTCTCTCTAAATGTTGAATCTATTACATACATTTTTTTCCATCGGCTTATTTGATTCGTCAAATTTCATCAAGAGTAATCTCTTTCTTCATTTGATCTTCCACTTTAGCCACTCAAGTTTTATTTCAATTATGTTTTACATCTTAATATCCATGTAATATTTACATAACTAATGGATCAGCTTCAGACTTTTGAGTTTTTTCATTAAATTAGTTATCATGGATATGAAATGTTTACAACATCAAAAGTTATATTGAAGGGATAATTTGTTTCTAAAGATTAAATAATAATATTAGTAAAATCGGCATGGGTTCATTTAGAGCACAATAATAGCAAAAATTTGGAAAGATGTTTTAATTGTTTTACGTTATTTTACAATTTGGTTAAGAGAATTCTTTAGTTATTAAATGGTAAATGTGGTTCAAAATTTTGATATTTGAGGGGTAAATTGGCCTTTCAATTTTTATCTTTGAGAGTTCCTGCTTATAATAATGTATGATGATTAATAAATAAAATATAAATACTTTGTGAAATTTTAATTATTTTAAGTCTTTAACTTTATAATTTTCTCAAGCACAACACTTCAGCGCAATAATAACAATAATCCATTAAAATTCATTTAGTCTTTATCTATCCTACTTCACATAAAATAGTCACATTTTCTCTTAATTGAATCACGTTGTGCGTGTAATGATAACTCTAGTATCGTTGAATTGCTTAATTATATTGACGGTCGCTTTTTTGTGGATTGTTTATGTACTAGGTGATTGCGCCTATCGAGATAAGTAAGCCCTAAAAAAGTATTACTTTCAAATCGAATAAACCAAAAAAACTGAACCAAATTGACGATTATTTTTTCCTTTTGACATGATATTGATTTTAGAAATTTAAACCGACTAAATTGATCTGATTTTAATTTTTATCAATAGTTGATCTAAATCGAACCACGAACACCCATTAGGTAAGTTTATACCAATTCACATAATTAATGAATATTTTTGGTCTTTTCTGTTTTATTATTTTACAGATAAAATCATCATTAAAGTCCCTAATTTATTTATTTAACTTTTTTACCCAGAAAGTGATTAAATACAAATACACAAATAAATAAAAAGAAGTGAATCTGATTATTCTCTACATCAGATCATTTTAGCACGTATTCAGATTACAAAAAAATCAAAAAGATGAAGAAGCAATTGCATTTTGTATTGTGGTTAAATGTTTAGGTGTGAAGCTATTTCTGCATTGTAAATTGAGCCCCTTGTTTTGCATGGGAATTAATATGTCTGTTTCATCATTGTCGTCATCATCTCCTCCTTCATGGTCATGGCACTTGAATAGTTATTCCGAATTTCATCCTCCTTCGTATTACTGTGTCAATATAAAGCCTATTTGTATACAGATCTTTTCAGCATCTTGGATTTGTTTAATCATATCAGCAGCTGTCTATTATCGCCTAAAGAAAATTCGAAATCAGAAAATCATCCCTCGAATTGAACTTTCTCGTATTGGACAGGTCCTCAAGTTTGAAAAATTTTCCCATTATGTAGGTAATTATTCAATTAAAGTACCTTTCCATTTTCAATTTTTTTTTATATTTTATTTTCGTTTATCGTTATTGTTAGGATCCCATATATTGTTATAGTTATAATTAAGTAATTAAACCTCTCTATTAGTGATAATTTAAGGTTTTACGTAACAACAACATCAATATATATATGCATGAAATTATTACACGAGGTGTGTGGAAATGGTTGAATGTATGCAGATTTTATCATTGAAGATAGAGAGATAGTGATAGTTTAAGTTTTTACACAATGCTCGCAAAACTCAATATTCTATATCTGTCACTCCTTTCTTTATTTATTTCAAAAGAATGACGTCTTTCTATTTTTGGCATCTCTTTTGACTTCACATTTTCCATTTTTATCATATTAATTATATGCTTTTATACCTCTAGTAATATCATGGCATGTCTGAAACTATAAGGGGTCGTTTGGTAGGGTGTACCAAACCATGTACTACTATTATATATAATGCGCAAAGCTAATACATGCATTTTTCTTTCCAAACGACCCCCATGTTCTAAATGTGCTTTTGGATGTGGTCTTAAGTTTTTGGATGAGATGGTCATATAACGAAATATATATGTATGAATGCAGCTAGACAAATGGGATTTGCAGATAGGAGACAATGTCCTCATCTGTGCAAGCTAGCTACTGAGTACATAATAAAATCAGACGGGTGTGAGGAAGATATGTACAACTACTTTTCTAATGAACCAGATGCTGATTCGCTTTTTATAAAGCTTGTTGAGGAGTTTGAGAGATGCATCCTTAGTTACTTCGCTTTCCATTGGAGTCATGTTCCTTATATGATGAGCCAGGTTTATCAAACTTTTCAGAACAAATGCCCCATGAAAACAAAATTTGAAATGTGCATTGTAGTTGATCATCTTGTAATCTTATTCTTTCCTCTTTGATATCCTTTTAGGTACTGAGTGCTGATCATTTTGAGCCAAAAAAGAAGCTCCAAAACATTGTCATGGCTGCTACGAGGTATAACTGCATATCCTATTTGCTCTTTTATTCAAAAGTTAGCTTGCTGATATTCATGTTTACGACTTATGTAATTGTTTGACAATGGACATGAACCTCGATAGGAGGGTGTGGAAGTTGAGAATTAGGGTAGAGGGTTGATAGGTAGTGTTTTTCCTTTCTATCTGTTGTTCCTTTAATTTAGCCTCTGCTATCTTATTATACTTGTTGTTTCTGTCTCTTTTTCATCATTCTTCGAATCGATGGTCTATTGGAAACAACTTCTCTACCTTCCCAACATAGGATTATAGTCTGTGTGCACTCTACCTTCCCAAGGTAGATGTAGAGCTAGCTTTTATAGTTCATTTGCATCCTTTGGCACTCTTCCTCTGTCCATCACAATTTTGCTCAATGTTCGTCAAGTTACCATAGTAGCTTTGATTATCTCCAACCTCTTTTTTTCCCTTTTTTTTGTAGAGCATTGTTCTGATCTGTAATGTACTTGAGTGCGTTATGATTCATATTATGTCAATGCTCTCGCAAACTTTTTTCTAGTCCGGTTTATCATATTCCTGCGCATGCTTACATAAAGCCTTCCACATTTCCTGACATATTAGTTTTCCAATTAGATATTTTAGTTTGTATCCCGACCAACTGAGTAACTTCTATCTGATTGACAAATCTTATTATTATATGATACATGCAGTAATGCAATAGAACTTCAAACATACTTCATTGTTATTATTTTTATTGGCAGTTGGTGATCCTCTACGATTTCCTCTCACTTCCAAACTGATTTATTAATACAAGTTTCAGATACATATATTTGGTGCTTCATCCATGGCACCTACTTTATTGTCATTATTCAGATCAGGGTCTTTGTAATTAATGATACAACAAGATATGTTGTTTGGTTCAGCTTATGGATAATATTCCAGATTTTCGTACTTATAAAATCCTTACCTAAGCTTTTGTGTAATTTTGTTAATCCCTAGCTAGTGTGAAAGTAGTTCAAACCTCTCGATTTAATAATGGTGTTCTCTTTACTTTTGCTGACTTGTGTTTTGTGTGTAATAAAGGGAACAACGATTTGAAAGGGTGACAAAGAATCTGAAGGTTGCGAGAGTTATTACTACCTTAGTTGAGGAGATGAAAGCAATAGGACTCGTTTCTTCAGATGATTCACAATGCACAGATGTGATGGTTCCAATGGCTCACAAAGATAGAAGCCCTGTCCTCCTGTTTATGGGAGGTGGCATGGGGGCTGGGAAAAGCACCGCGCTCAAGGAAATTCTCAAAGAGTAAGAAAGTTATCATTATTTGCAAGTGTAGAGGTTTCAATGCACTTCTGGTACATACTTATAATGGATCGACTACCTAAATTTTACACGCAGGCCATTTTGGATTGGAGCTTCAGCTAATGTTGTTGTGATAGAAGCAGATGCATTCAAAGAATCAGATGTCATTTACAAAGCTCTTAGCTCTAGGGGACACCATGACATGCTTCAAACTGCTGAACTGGTTATTATATGCTTCTCAATCCCTTGAAAATATTACAAATAAAGAGTTGCATATCTGTCCTCTATTGCCCCTGCCGTAGGGATAGATAATCTTTTTAAATCATTTCATTTGTACGCAAATCATATCAAAAGCCAAGCTCGTGGTACATGTTGTTCGTTATTGCCAAACAAAACTCACAAAATTTGTGCTCAGGTTATGCCATGTATAGTTGGAAGCATTTGTACCATGTACTTGTGTTGTTCTATATAGAACTTCACTTTTCTCTCCCTTTATTGTGTGGTATTTTTCTAGGATATCCTATGTGCCCGTTCATCAAACACTTGCCAATCTAGAAGCTTGTTAGTCCTTCTTGTCCCTCCTCCCTTCCATCATGAGCACCAGTATTAGTTAGTAAAACATTCTACTAGTCCATTCGAAGAGATTCTCTTAATCAACCCAGTATAAACAAAAAATATAATTTCAATGCTCTAAGACCTTAGCCTTTTAAAGTTTATTTTGGAAGTGATTGCATAGATAAAGTTTGTTGCAGGTACACCAGTCATCAACAGATGCAGCATCATCCTTGCTTGTAACAGCACTGAATGAAGGAAGAGATGTGATCATGGATGGGACACTCTCATGGATACCCTTTGTGGTGCAGACCATAACCATGGCCAGAAATGTTCACCGGCGACGTTACCGAATGGGTACTGGTTACAAAGTGGAAGAGGATGGAAGAGTAACTGAAAACTACTGGGAACAGATTGATGAAGAAGAACAGGAAACTGATGGTACAAGAAAAAGAAGACCTTATAGAATAGAATTGGTTGGAGTTGTTTGTGATGCTTATTTAGCTGTCATTAGAGGGATAAGGTAAATGTTATAACAATTAATTGTCAAAAGCATTTTTTCTTCTTAGCGCGTGTTAAACAAGTTTCCATTTCTTTACAGGAGAGCTATCATGTGTAGAAGAGCTGTTCGGGTGAACTCGCAACTGAAGTCACACAAGAGATTCGCAAATGCATTTGACACATACTGTCAGCTTGTGGATAATGCAAGGTTATATTCCACGAATACTTTGGAAGGCCCCCCTAAGGTACATACATATAAACAAATAAGTTTTCTTACATTGTTATTGCCTAATGTTTTGTTCTCCTCTAACAACAAATACTATATATATGTTTTGGAAGTTGATAGCATGCAAGGATAGAGACAAGACATTATTGGTGGATCCTGATGAGATAACTGTACTGAAAATGGTAGGGAGGTTGAATGAAGGAGCTGATTCCATTTATGAACTTTACAAGAACCCTCATCCAGCTTATCAATCTGGCTCAGTTTGGAAAGACATTGTTATGTCACCTTCTAGGTTGAATATTCAGAAAGAACTCAAGTATTCCATTCAAAAAGTTGAAAGAATGAGATCCTAAATCAATCATCAATGACTACTCGACAATATGACTTTGAGATTTGGAGGCTAAAATCCCTTCTCTAGTTGGTTTTGCCTCCTCAAAACCCTTCCTTAGCTTGTAATCTTGAAGCCTTGTAGCTTTCAGTTGATTTCAAAGAGTTGTATTAGGTTTGGTTTTTTTTTTTGGGAGTGTCCCCGGGTAATTAGGATTACGCGAGTAGGGCACCATTTGGGAGTACCGCTCTCGATGAAAGATTTTTTCCTATTCAGAACTCAAATTGAAAATATCAGATCAAGAGAGAATCTTTATCCTTTGCACTTATTCCTTTGATGGTAGTTTGAAAATTGTGAAGAATATTTTTTATTTTTTGAAAAATAATAAATATTAAAGGTGTCAGAGGTAGATTAGAAGTATTTGTTTTTATTTATTTTTTAGGTATAATATTGTATCTAATAGCTGGCATATTCTATTTTTCGAAAAAAATTATTATGGTAGAGGTGAACCAACAAAAGGTGTATGAGGCTTCATTTATTTTTTGACATATCCACAAGTGGATCATTTATGTACTTTTCTACTTTACAAAAATTCTTTCTACAAGTAATAAGAGAAAGAAAATCTATTTTTACATAAATTGAGTCGAACAAATATAAAAATACAAGAAAAATTATGTGGGTTTGCTACTTTTTTTAATCATTATTAATATTATACTTAATTGTGGATTATATCGGATATATTATTTTTATTGTTGTTGTATTATAATTTGAAAAATATATTTTGATATGATTTGTATTTATGTTCTGTGTTTGTTTTAAAAAAAATCTTTCATAATTATTATGATTTTAAAATGTAATCATTTTATTTTAATTGTTACGATCTGAAACGTCGATTTTACCTTATTTTTACATTATAACTTTTGAAGGAAAGTAAAAAAAAAAGTTAATTATACTATTATAGTGGGATGAATGCTTAAAACAGAGTAACACTACTCAAAGAAATAGTTTTTAAAAAATATCGTTATCCTAATAATATTTTTTTAGTTCAATTCGTGTAAAATTTCAGTTGATGTAGAATGCACTATTTATCATCATTACGATTTGATCATTAATATTTTTGATAAAATAGTATTTAAAATATTTTCTCGAAAATATTTTTTATTTTAATTTTAAAAAGATATTGTGTGATTATTGTTAAATTTGTAAAATAGTATTTTATTTTAATTAAAGATGGCTAGATGTCACGACCCAAATTGAGCCGCGAGTGGCACCCACACTTATCCTACTATGTGAGCGAACCAACAAATCTGAACCCCAACATTTCAAACATAATTAACATAATATAATGCGGAAGACTTAAACTCATTAATGAAAATCAATAATCAACTTCTAAAAACTCGACAACTATTATTATCCCCAAAATCTGGAAGTCATCATCACAAGAACATCTATCCTCAAATTACTAATCTAAGAGTATCTAAGAAGCTAAAGTACATAAAAAGCTAGTTCATGCCGGAACTTCAAGGCATCAAGACATGAAGAGGAAGATCCAGTCCAAGCTAGAAGCATTAGCTCACCCTGAAATCCGGAGTAATGAAGACTGGCTAGAGTTGCGGTTGAGTTGAAGACGACGGCACGTTTGCTGCACTCCACAAATAACAAGGAAAGAAACATACAAATAGGGGTTAGTACAAAACACGGGTACTGAGTAGATATCATCTGCCAACTCAAAATATATCAGATCATATCATAAATCAACTACAATACTCAATTTGTAGCAACAACATGTACAAGAATCTTTGATAAATAACGTCAAGTACACTCATGAGGACTCAAGCCTCCATATCATGCTCATTTGGAAATTAGGTTCTTTCCATTCGAATTTATTAACATAATTCCAAGATTCATTACCTTTATTCCTCTTGTGTCGGCACGTGACACTCCGCTCCCCTACTACTATGTGTCCGAACGTGATACTCCGATCCCCTAATTCTACTTGTCGGTTCATGACACCCGATCCCCTAATTCTACATGTCGGTTCGTGACACTCAATCCCCTAATTCTACGTGTCAGTTTGTGACACCCGATCCCCTAATTCTACGTGTCGGTTCGTGACACCCGATCCCCTAATTCTACGTGTCGGTTCGTGACACCCAATCCCCTAATTCTACATGTCGGTTCGTGACACCCGATCCCCTAATTCTACGTGTCGGTTCGTGACACCCGCTCCACTAATCTCATTCTATTAATTCATCAAGCCTTCTTTTATACCAAGGCATCATCAATCTCATTACTTTAGTTCATCAAGCCTTCTTTTATACCAAGGCATCATCAATCTCATTACTTTAGTTCATCAAGCCTTCTATTATACCAAGGCATCATTATTAACAAGGGGTTTTCAAGATTGAAGTTTTCAAGATTTGGAATTCAATAGATTCATCATGCTTATTTCATCACAATTATATAATCATATTCATGCAAGCATACAATTAAGCATATAGAAGACTTTACAATACAACCCAACACATATCATTCGCCATTAAGAGTTAACTACGAATAGTATAAAAACCATAACCTACCTCCACCGAAGATTCGTGATCAAAGAAGCAATTTCCTCAAGGTTATCTCTTTTAACCCCCAAGTAATTGAGTTATTAATATTAAACCACTAAATTTATAATTAAAGCAAGAATAGTCCAAAACGTCCCTTAAAACATTTAAAGAAATCTGACTCAGCCTGGGATTACGCAACCTGTGACGGGCCGTCGTGCCTGCGACGGTCCATCCTGCTGCTCTGTCACAGAGTTCAGAGACTCCATTCCATTAAAGGGACTATGACGGTCCGTCGTGCCCACGACGGTCCGTCCTGCCATTCCATTATGAAGTTCATAGAGTTGATTTTAGTACCCAATTTTCAGAATTCTAAGTATTTTGGAACGAGACACCCTCGACGGTCCGTCGTGGGGTCCGTCGACCAAGACAGCTTTTTCAGAATTAAAATCTGCTGCTCAAAACGACTAAACAGGTCGTTACAATAGATACCAATTTACCCATCGTTCGTCTTCGAACGATCGTAAGAAGAAAAAGAAGGGCGAAAAGGAGTACCTGAATCTGTAAACAGGTGTGGGTATCTTTCTTGCATGTCAGCCTCTTTCTCCCAAGTGGCTTCTTCAACGGGTCGATTCTTCCATTGAACTGTGATAGATGCAATTTCCCTTGACCTCAACTTGCAAACTTCTCTATCTAAAATAGCAACAGGCTCCTCCTCATACGACAAATTCTCATCAAGCAAGACTAATCCCAACGAATAATATAGTTTCCATCCCCATGGTATCTTTTCAACATAGACACATGGAATACCGGATGCACCCTTGACAGTCCTGGGGGCAAGGCTAATTCATAAGCTACCTCCCCCACGCGCTTCAGAATTTCAAATGGACCAATATACCTTGGGCTTAGCTTACCTCGCTTACCAAACCGCATCACCCCTTTCATGGGCGACATCTTCAGCAAGACTTGCTCACCCTCCATAAACTCCATGTCTCTAACCTTTCAATCCGCATATTCTTTCTGCCTGCTTTGAGCCGCTAAAAGCTTTTCTTGAATAGATTTCATTTTCCTCAATGAATCCCTCAAAAGGTCAGTACCCCAAGGTCTAACCTCAAATGCATCAAACCAACCAATGGGAGACCTACATCTTCTCCCATACAATGCCTCGAATGGGGCCATATCAATACTTGAGTGATAACTATTGTTGTATGAGAACTCTGCTAAGGGTAAGAAGTTATCCCAATGACCACCAAAGTCTATCTCACATGCACGAAGCATATCCTCCAACACTTGAATCGTTCGCTTAGACTGACCATCGGTCTGAGGATGGAACGCAGTACTAAGGTCCAACCTAGTACCTAATTCAGCATGCAATGTTCTCCAAAACTTAGAAGTAAACTGCGTACCTCTATCTGATATGATGGAGAGTGGAACCCCATGCAATCGCACCACTTCCGAGATGTAAAGTTTGGCTAACTTCT